ACCTATATTTTCAAAATAGGAAAATGGCTAGGATTGACTAAGCGGAAAAGTGATGATTCACAGGTGATGGATCCAAGACAATCTACCAGCTATCTAAATTATTTTTTTCAGGTCAGCCAAAAGTTAACAAGTGTGTTATTTTTGAAAATTTCAGAGTTAGTTCAGAAAGTTCAGAAACTTTAGTTAGAGTTTGAAACTTCAGTTACAGTTCGATCATAGGAAACTTTATGGAATTGTTCTTTTTCTTCAATAGATAAAATTTCAAGTACATTTGGACAAAATGGATTTCTAATCTAATTTTCTTTTTCCTGATACTCGGGAAAATACATATTGAAATTATTTATCGATCAAAAACAATGCTTTTTAATGTCGAATTCTTCGTTTATTTTCAAATTATTTTCTCTCAGAAAATTTTCTAAAACTGTTAAAATATTGTTGTCCAATTTTCGAATATTATTTCGATTTTTTTTTTTTTTAGCATTGCTTGTATTTTATTGCTAATGGTAAACAAATTAACACTTTGTACTTGTAATCCTAAATTTAATTCATTTAACTTTCCAAAAATATCAGCTAAATATGCTAACCGCTCCAGCCATAATTCACTAAATAAACAAATTTGCAATTCAAATCTTGAATCACAGAAGAAAATATGAATTTCGGATCGAAGTTCAAAAAGGTGATTTAAAACTTTGCCTCTGGATAACCACTTATTAATGGATCCAAGGCAATGTTTCTCAGAATACTGAAAAGAAACGAAATCTTTTTATAGAAATATAATTAAAGTTATTTATCATTTGGGTTTACTTGGGATGGAGACGAAATGGACCTTTAACCTTAATGTGTTGTTTGCGATGAATTATTATCCAATCAAAGTATGAAATCATCGTTTCTTAAAAGACATCTTGAATCTAAGCATGCCAGTTTAAAGGATAAATCTGAAGAATATTTTAAGAGAAAATTATCGGAGGTCAAAAATACTAAACAAGTAATGAAAGGTTTTTGTTACTTCAAGTGGAAGATAAGCGAATTGCCGAAGAGCATTTATTTTATGAATCTCTTCATGATAGAGCAAATAAAGTTTTCAAAATAATTGATAATTTTATGTCTGAAAATGATATTTCTTGGAATAAGTGCATTGCCATATCTAGTGACGAATTTCGGGTTTTAACAGGGAAACATTCTAGTGTTATTTCACATACACTAAGCGAGACTGAAAATGCAAAATCAAAAAGAAGTGGCCAGAAAGTGATGAAACTCGGCAAAGAGAGAAAAAGCAAATAAGAATAAATGATCTTTATTTCGAAATGAGATACATAATACAGAGTGAGAACAGCGTCAGCTCAGTAGGTTGTAGGTCCATTTTGAACGGCGATACACGAAGCAACACGTCTAGGTAGAGAATCATTGAGGCTAAGGATGGTGTCCTGGGGAATGGCTTCCCATTTCCTGTCAAACATTTGCCACAGTTCTTCTGAACGCGGCAATGGCAGGGTATGCATATGGCGTCCAATCACATTCCAAATGCGTTCGATTGGTGAGGGATCAGGAGAGAACGGTGGCCAGCGAAGTATCTGTACAACTCGCAGAGCACGTTGGCTGCTGCGAGCAGTGTGTCGTTTGACGTTATCCTGCTGATAAAGGGCACTGGGCACTCCCTGAAGGTAGCACTGGGCACTTCTCTGAAGGTAGGCGAGTGTCATCGGCCGCAGCACGTCATCCACTTATCACTGATCTCATTAGTGTCCTGAAAACGAACTAGAGGTGACCTGGAATCGCACGCAATTGCGCCCCAAACCATGATATCGCGTTGTCGCACTGTGGAGCATTCTACAATTGCTGCCGGTTTGGACCTGTCTCCGCGCCACCGCTTGTCGGCAGATGCGTCGATCCACACGGGATCTCAAGCCGTGTGGATCGACGCATCTGCCGACAAGCGGTTCCTTCTCAAGCCGATCACCGTGCCCCTCGTAATATCGTCTGTCTCCTGGAGGTGGTTCCGTTGAAGACGGCCTGGCATTCTCTGCTATTACACGCGTCCTCTAAGACAAGAAAAAATTTTCTACGATGATTTCCCTACAGGAATAACGGCACGAAAGTTGAACATTCTGCATTTTCTTTCCCTTATATCTTCTTCAACGTGCTCTGGATTGCATAATTTTCCGTCCACTGCTTCTTGGTGTTGCATTTTTAATGTCCGGTAGTGTATAAAGAAAGTAGCACCTGAAACTAAATTTACTCACTGCTCCATCCATCATGAAGTTTAGTAGCCAAAACTATCCCCGAAAACATGAAAATCATTTTGAAAGAAGCTGTGAAAATTTTTAATTTTATTAAAAGGAAAGCTTTAAAGTCAAGAATATTTACGATTTTATGCCAAGAGATGGCCAGTGAACAAAAAATCCTTTTGTTACATTCCTTTTGGTTTGGTTTATTTGATTACGGCAAAGCCTCGAGGGCTATCTGCCTAAGGGAAGAGATGCCTTCGTGGCGGACTTTCTATGGAAAACTGGTTCGTATATACGTTACATATGGGAAAAACCACGAAAATGTCCGTTCCTGGAATTCGAACCTCGGACCGAATTACCAGTGTTCAACGAATTAACTGCTCGGCCGCTGGTGGACGTTTTACATTCAGAAGTAAGGTGTCATGTAGAGGCAAAGTTTTAAATACTCTGTTTGAACTTCGATCAGAAAATCACATTTTCCTCAGCAGCTCAAAATTTGAATCTCAAAATTGCTTATTTAGTGACTTATGGATGGCGCGGTTAGAATATTTAGCTGATATTTTTCAAACATTAAATGAATTAAATTTAGGATAAGAACAAAGTGTTAATTTGTTTCCATTGAAGATAAAATAAATGCAATGATATAAAAACTCGAGCTAAAAATTAATTAGAATTGGATAGTAATATTTTAAGCTTTACCACCTTTAGAAAGTTTTCTAACCGAAAATAATTTGAAAATAAAAAGAAAAGAATTAGCAAAGAAAATCATTGTTTTTCACTGCTAAATAATTTCAACATATATTTTGCGGTGGTACTTCGTATTTTACGTATTTTCATTGATAAATAATTTCAACATGAACCTGATGCGTTTCATTATTGAAGGCAATACGTTCCTTGAGCGCATTGGACCACTACTGGAAAGATGGTAAAACCACTAGAAATCTGAGTCGAAATCGTCGACTATGCAATGGTATCATTCTTCATCCTCGCATCCTGAAAAAAGTTCAAAAGCCAGTCATCTGCTGGAAGAGTGATGTTTACCCTATTTTTTTATTTCCATTACTTATTGATTTCAAAGATCCAGGTGACTGAGAGACTACTGAGAAACGCTGAAGAGATTACGACGAGCAGTTAAGGCGGAAACTTTCGGGAAAACTGCGGAATGGGTTGATTCTGCTTCATGATAACGCACGTCCCCATATTGCAAATGTCGTAACGTGGAAGTTGCACACAGACACTCGATCACCCGCAGCACAGCCCTGATCTCTCTTCACGCGATTTTCGCCAAATTCGGCCCTGTTATCTTCAGGGGGCTTTGTTTTCGTCCCTTTAAAAAAGCCCTTGAAAAGTCGACGGTTTCCGTTTGACTGAAAAGTGCAGCAGCCAGTTTCGGGCTTCTTAAGCAGGAGAAAAAGGAGTTTTACCTAACTGGTATATTCAGCTTAGTGAGGCGTGGTATGATTGCCTAAAAGCTCAAGATGATTTTGCATGACTAGCATACCAAGTCTAGACTGTAGAGCCTTCGAACAGAAACTTCTTGATCGTCCCTTATAACTGCTTATCCAGGTAACAAAATTAAACGGCTTTTTTCTTGAACCATGCTCTGTTGTTGTAGCATAAATCAAAGGTTTTTCCATTAGACCAAAGAAGGCTTATTTAGCTACATAAGTAAAAGATACAAGCAAGGAGCTAAATAACATGAAGAGTGTACAAGAAATGCAAATAAAAATGCCACTACCTACAACTACTTGGATTGGATTAACTTGCTGGTTGAAATGAAGTTGTAGAATTAAATGCTGACTGTGCATTTACATACACAACAAAAGAAAACGTAAATTGCCCAAATTCATCAATTATTTGCATTTTACTTTCTGTCATTACCCTTAAACTTTAAAGACATTACACATTAATTAAGAATATAAATTCATATAAGAGACAAAAATATTGTATAACAGGGATTCCCTATGGATTTTGATTTTGACCCCTCTAGAGTCGATGAAATTTTAAAGGAAGCCATTGGTGATCAAGGGGCCAATAGCCGCAATATGCGCCGGCAATTAATCAAGAAAATGAAGATCTTATTGACTACAAAAAATTATTAATAAAAATGATAATTAATTGCTTATTGATACAAAGTTGTATTACGTAGCAAAGAAGAAATCATATAGAGGGGAATCATATAAGGGGAAAATGGACTAAGAGTATTTAATATATTCAAAATATCAATAATACTTTTTCTAAATATATAAATTTTTTATGTGCGCAATATAGAAAAGTTAAAAACAAGAACATAAGAAAACACAGCAAAAAAAAAAAAAAAAAAAAAAAAAAAAAAAAAAAAGGAGAACGAATATTTAGAATGGAAAACAAGAAACAGGCTGAAATTTTTTAGCCGAGGTGATTGAAAAATTCAGCTAGGCAATTTTATGCCAAATATTATAAAACAATTCATGAATATATCAAGGGCAATTATGACATTCATTAAACTCGAACTTATGCCATCCTAGTCTGTGATTTTTTTCCCTTGAAAACTTGTTTTAGTTGCAAAATGAAAAAAATTCAAACATAAATCTAATAAACCATTCTTTCATAACTTTAGTTCATATTCTTAATCTATTTATAAGTTACTTATTTGTAATTATTTGCTTTGTAATTATGTTGTATGTAGTGTATTATAGAGAAAAATGTAAGGAGATCGATGAAGAAAACCATTCTTTTAAAAGAAAGAGATGCAAGAAGTTTTGGAATTCCTGTTGTAGAACAATACAATGTTACCTTATTTTCTGCTAATTCACTTAAAGCGATGTGCAGTGCCGATCCCACCACTGAAGATCCCTGGTTGACATCTGCACCAGCATCGATTAAGTATTTCATCATGTAGTAGTCTGCCTTAAGGACTGCGAAGAAAAGAGGTGGAGGTTTAGCATAATCTGGTGGGAGTTTCACGCTTGCTCCATTCTCTACTAAATATTGAACAGTATTTAAGTTGCCACTTAGGACTGCGTAATGCAAAGGAGTGCGCTGGTCTTCATTGGTCATTGCACTGACGTCTGCTCCATAGGCAATCAATAGCTTAACAGTATCCAGTGCTTCAGGATTACAGCATGCCTAACGAAAAAAAGCTAGTATCATAATTGGGTTAAAAACTAAAAGGTCAAATTAAACAACGCAAAAAATTTAGCTTATTTTGAGGATTTGAGTATTTTTTGTTCCCATAAGAAATAATTATTTTGGATCTAGTTTACACAAATTTCTTTATTCATCATTTTTTATGTGCAAATGAGTATCGTATTTAATCGAAAAAGAGTACCTACTTTTTTTTTCTATATTTTTGTTCTGACATTTCTTATAAACAGTATCTTATAAACAGTTATTTTGATAACTAAAATTGTAGAATGAGAGAAAGGAATTTAATTACCATGCTATGCATAATAATTACACTATTTAAATACTAAATAAAACGCACAGATAATTACCATATGTATAATCTGCAAGACTGCCACTAATTATAGAGCCACGTTTACCACAGCGATTTCAATTTAAGTGTACAATCACTATAATGTTGACTGACATGTCAGAAAACGGCACCATTATTCAATTAAATTCGAAAGGAAAGGAAAAAACTAAAATTCACTTTCTCAAAATTACGGCAAGAAATATTGGTTATATTATCTCCAAATACAAATTTAGTAGAATGTATCAAAATGAGGGAACCCAGAAGTAGGAAGTTTAATTCCGAAAATTGTTTTTTAAAAGGAACTTGAATGTAAATCAGGAAAAAAAAAACTTTTTAAGGGGACTTGAATTTAAATCATGAAAAAGATTTTGAAAGGTATTTGAATTTAAATCATGAATAACAAAAACAAAAATTCAAACTTTGGAAAAGAAAATGAATAAACCAAGTAATTATCGTCATTGATCGGAAATTATTTGACTTTTCAAGGGGAACAAACCAACTACCGTTCAATGAAGAATAATTAATAAATGCGAAGGTGTTTCGTCTTTTACTCAAGTAAGAATGATGATGCCAAACTGGCAAATTAAGTTAGGCCAAAAATTGTAGTTTAAGTGATTGGAATTTTAGAAAACTAGAGACATTAAAGCCAAATTAGAGTACTAAATAACTCCTTCTGAATGCAGCATTTTCGCTAAGACAATAGATTCTTTAGAAATTCTGAGTGAATAATCAAATTATGTATTAATTTACAAGATACTTGAGTAAAGTGTCCCCCGATACCCTCGCTTTTATGCATGTTAATTCAAAACTATTTTTATAAAACTAATAAACAGCAGTAATCTTAACTGGAACTATGAAACAAAACTCAAAATAATTGAAATAAACATGAGAAACACAAGAAACAAATTAAATAAAAGTTGAAAAATTGAAATATTTATTATAAGAAATAATAAAATGTAAAAATGTATATGAAATACAAAGGCCAGAATATATGAATTAATTAGCTTATGTACTTTCTCTCCAAAAAAGTTATTAGTAATACTATCTTAAATCAAATCCAACGTATTAAAAATATTTGCACAGATACGATAGATCTACAGCGCGAAATTATGATCCTTATTAAAACTCTCAAAAATAATCTAATACCTAATTGATTTATTAACCATTGTCCTATAAGAGCAGGCGTTAAATACTCTCTCTGAATCATTTAACTGATAGAGATATGATAATTTGTTCCTAAACCTGAAAAGGCGGTATAAGTTGCATGACTGTCAGTTGGAGAATTTGTATATAGTGTGTAATTACAAAATTTGTATATAATGTAAAATATAATTGTTTTCAGACTTTTTATGCTGTTACTAAAAAAATGAGCCTATTTCCTTCTCTATAGTCTTCCAAATAGCTCGTTGGCAATGAAAATTACTATTTTTCTTCTTTTCTTCCTCGTTCCGCCATGACAATTAGCCAGAAATTAATTTCCATTCACTAGTTAATATATTCAAAATTTTAACAGACGCTTTCACTCACATCAGAACTCCGCAACCACCTCCCTCAAACATACCAAGTTTCTCCCACGTACCAAAAATAGCTTCTCAAATGTTCAACGCCTGTAATAATTCTAAGTATCCCCACTGCCGATAACGGAATTACGGTGTAGTATGGCCTACACCACCCCTTCTGAGTAAGCAACAGAAGAAAACACATTACCCACTAGAAATAACCCACTAGAAATAATCCCACTAGAAAGAACGCCAGTTAATTAATTCATATTCTGGCCTTTTTTATTTCATGTACTTTTCACATTTTATATTTCATTATTTCTTTAAAAAAAAAACTTTTATTCATGAGAATAGTACAAACGATTAGAATTTTTCAAAGTAGCACTTTTTCGCATCTACACTTTGCTGTCAACGAGTTTTCTTCCAGTTTTCGCAAACCTTCAGCAACGCCTGGATCGGAAAGCTGTTTAGCTCCCTCGCGACGGCCTGTTGAACCGCCTCTACCAAGCCGTGATGCTTCCCCTAGAGGGTCGATTTTATTCTTGGGAATAGAAAAAGTTTGGAGGGGGCAAGTCGGGGCTGTAGGGAGATTAGGCAGCGTTGCCACATTGTGCTGGGCAAGATAATCCACTACGAGGAACGTTGCGTGGCTCGGTGTGTTGTCATGGTGCAGCCGCCAATTGTTGGCGATGGCTGGGCGGACGCGAACAATGCGTTTTCGCAGTCTTGTGAGGACTTCCACTTAAAAAACTGAATTAACTGTGTGTCCGGCTGGTACGAACTATTTGTGGAATGACTCTATGTCGGTCAAAAAAGTAAAGGAGCATGGATCTTTTCCTTCGATTTTGCTCATTCGTGCTTCCTTAGGGCGTGTGGAAGAAGGGGTGTGTCATTCTGAGCTCTTCCTCTTGCTCTCCGGGTCGTATTCAAACACCCACGTGTTGTCACCGGTCACTACATTGTCCAAAAAGTCGGGGTCTTCATTCTCATGATGAAAAAGATCCTGGCAGATTGCTTTCCGGTTGGCCTTTTGCTCCTCTGCCAACACTCGCGGCACACACTTCGCGCACACTTTCTTCATGGTTAAGTTTTCTCTTACGGTCTCAAAAACTTCGGTTTGAGGAATGTTCACTTCATCAGCAATCTTTCTGATACTCATCCTACGATCGCTGTTCAGTAAATTTTTCACTCGCGACACAGTTTGGTTGCTCTTCTGGTCGAAGGGCGTCCGGAGCGGTCGTCGTTTTTCAACTCTTTCCCTACCTTCTCGGAACAGCTTGTGTCACTCAAAAACACCCGATCTACCCGTGGAAGCATGACCGTAGGCCTTCTTAATTATGTCTTTTTTTTTGCCCGTTTTATCAAGCGTTACACAAAATTTGATCGCGTATCGCTGCTCCAGAAAACGCTCCATGATTCTCCGTGACGAGACGTTTCGACAGGGTTTCACAGTACAAGCGACCTGCTCTCTTAAACGGCCGAGAACCGACTGCCGATTTTTCCCAGCGTTCCCAATATCCCCGTTCACTGATTGTGCGCACGAAGAACGCCTCTCGTACGCCCGTTCATTCAGGAAAACACCAGTCCTATTTATTTCAGAACAGACCCTGTATATATATATATATATATATCTATATATAAAAGTAGAAAGTAGTAAATTAAAAATTGAGAGACCTAGTTGGTTTCAATCTTATATATACTACAAGATGAATGACAAAATTTGCAATCAATAGTGTTACGAAATGTCCGGTGCGGTAAGAATCTTATCGCAGTTTTAGGGTTGCCACATTTAGCGAGAAATCGCCCATTTGGCGACATTTGGCGTTATACCATGGACAGGGGGAGAACCTTCTGGAACGAATTCTTACCGGTTTAGCCCATAATGTTCTCGAACACAAGCCGAAAGCTATATAAACCCTGCTGGTCCGCAGTCAGTTAGAGAGAGTGTGCCTCGTCGAGAGGGCGAGCCAGAGTGCCTCGTCTAGAGTGCAAGTTAGTTAGTATCGAGTTAGTGTCTCGTCTAGCGAGTCAATCCCTGCGGAGTCGATCGAGTTGACAGCCGGGCAGAGAGTGCACCGAAAGAGTCTCGTAGTGTATCGCGGTTAGTGGATCGTCGAGAGAGCGTGTTGAGCTCCGGGAACGACTGAACCGAAGAGTCGGGAACTGTGCTCAGTGAGTCGTCGAGTTCATCGCGAGTTGTAGCGTGGAGAGTCTCGAGAGTACGTGGAGTTCTGAGAACGACCGAGCACAGTCGAGAGCTGTACTTTGGTGCTTTGCAGTGAAGCTGTCTCACCTTTATTGCCTGATAGTGTGAAGGCTGTGGCGCTGATCATCGTGTCAGCGTGTTTATTATAGTAGTTCTTCTACGACTGTAAACGAGATTTTGGAGCTGTCCTGATTAATGGTCAAAGGCACGGGAGTAAATATTACCATCAATACCACTACGACTCACCATCCTGCACAGCACACCATCTACACGGATGGTTCGAAAATTGACGAAAAAGTGGGATGTGCGTTTGTAGTTATGCAACAAGGTACAATAAAAGACCAATGGAAGGGAAAGCTGCGGCAACATAATAGCGTATTTCAGGGAGAAGCAGTGGCGATTGCGCAAGCAATTCGCTACTTGCAATCCCACAACATCCGCAACGCTACTATCAAAACCGACAGCCTCTCATCCCTGTATGCAATAGGAAATCCAGACCATCCTTCCGGCATAATACAAGGTGTCCAAGAAGACCTGCGGAAAAATCCACCTCTCCGTACCAAATTGGAATGGATAAAAGCGCATGCCGGCTACCACGGTTATGAATTGGCAGACCATCTCGCCAAAGAAGCAGCTACAGGACCGACCGATTTACAAATTGACATCCCATGGCCTGTCTCATTCCTGATGAGTTCTCTACGTTTAAAGGCAATTGGGCTATGGCAGCAGACATGGGACAATAGCGAAACTGGGAGACGGGCTCATTACCACATCAGCTACGTGGAAACCACCAGGAACATTGCTAACACGCAACTGGTCAGGTACATTATGGGTCATGGACCATTTCCAGAATATTTCAACAGATTCGGCATAAGCCATACCAGTCAGTGCACCTATGGACAGACTGGCTCTCCGGGGCACTACCTAACACCCTGTCCCCTTACAG